GGAAAGAGGCGTCAAGGACACCAGGGAATTGGCTTGAGTACCTGGAAGGATGAAGTGGCCCCTAATGGAGATGGAGCACCGAGGTGGGGGAGATCAGGAATCCAGGTTGGGGTGTGTGGCATCAATACCTATTTGGCATCAGGTGGATTGACAGGAGGGGACTGGGGGGTGCTGGTGGGGAGTTAGATGTGAGCAGAGCTGTGTCTGACTCAGCCCAGTGAGGGGGCAGGGGCTTGAGGGTATGTGCCAGGGAGAGCCTGGTGGGTAGGGGCTGAAGCTGGCTGAGCAGCAAGGTGAAGAGCCGGCCCTGGAGTCGCAGCATCGTTAGAATTGAGGTACTCAGGGAGCAATCCCGATAGGCAGCAGGTCGTGGTCCACTGATGGGAGCCTGGGGGTGAAATGATCTGATGGCAACAAGGTCTAGGTTATGCTCGTGAGAATGAGAGTCCGAGGGAAGGGTGGGACATGATCATGGGGGAAGGAGGAGGTGAGGGAAGGAAAGCCAGGAGGTTGGAGGCCCTAGGATCTAAGAACGACAGGTGCAGTGGCGGAGAGGGTAGTGGAGAATAGGAGTAACATGCTGCCTCCACAAGGACCATGACCTGGGGTGGAGGGGTCCAAGCCGTGCGGGGGAGGGCTGGCACACCCTGGGAAATGAGACTTAAGGAGGAGAAGGGCATGAGAATGGTCTGAGCAGCAGTAGGAGCAAGAGGATGCCCGCTCTGGCCCTGAGCAGGACAGCAAGGGATTTCTTTTTTCTTTCTTTTTTTTTTTTTTTTAAGAGAGAGATTTTGGCAGCCAGCAGTTAGCATAATGGCTATGTCACTGGACTCCCTCGTAGTTGACCGTGGTTCGCGTCCCGGACCTGGTGGCTTAAAACTCACGCCGGGCACGTGTGGGTGCATGCCCAAGATCCCAAGAGAAGAATGGAGGAGAAGGGATTGCGGCGTTACCATCCCCACTGGGGGGTGATTTCTCGCTTTCTGTCTCTCTGTCTCTCTCTGTCTGGCGAGCGCACGCGCCCTATAGCGAAAACCTCTAAAAAAAATAATAAAAAACAAAGAGAGATTTTTTTGCTAAAAGGTACATGTGCTTGCCAGAGAGACAGAAAGTGAGAAATCACTCACCAGGTGGGATGGCCATGCCGCAATCCCTTCTCTTCCAGTCTCCTCTCGGGATTTTGGGCACACACACACACCCCTGGCATGAGTTTTAAGCTGCCATATCTGACTCAAACACAATCGACTATGGGGCAGTCCAGCAACGTAACCATCACACCATCTGCTGGTCCCCAACACAGGATTTCTTAAACTATTGTTTTTTAAGAGATTTTTGCTATAGGGCATATGTGCTTGCTGGAGAGGGACAGAGAGAGACGGAAAGCAAGAAATCACCCCCCAAAGGGGATGGCCACGCTGCAATCCCTTCTCTTCTCAGAATTTTGGGCGCACACACACGCGTGCCCAGCATGAGTTGCAAGCTGCCAGGTCTGGGACTCAAACTGCAATTGACCATGTGGAGGTCCAGTGCCTTAACCATTACACCACCTGCTGGCCCAGATTTCTTAAACTTTTAATTTAGTTTCTGATGTCTAAAAAGAGA